AGGAGCATGTTGTGGCGGGCCTGCCAACTGCATCCACCGTGGCAAATGGGACATCCTGTAAGTGCAGGCTGACTGATACACTGTTTAAAATAGTTGTAAATTTACGACAGTTTTTGGTACGACAATATTGTTAAATTACGATTCAAGTTGTCTTTAAAAAAAACGATGAATGTATTGTTGGGTAACAACAAATATCATTATTAATCTAATCTACACGATTAGGATGTATCGTAATATTACGATATACTCCTGTCATAATAATAGATTTCGTTTCATTAAAGGTCAGCAGACTAAACTGGAAACTTCCTTTAATTAATCTCATTTCTAAATTGTCGTTCTGGAACAATTTTGGGTCGTGAATATACGACAATGTCGTTCTGGAACGACTTTGGGTCGTATATACCCGATAAATCTTATTCCATAACAACGAAAGCCGTAAAATTACGATTCAAGATCAGGCAACCTCAAGCATAGTGATACGTCATTTTTGTTGTTAATTTACGATTAAGACGATGTTTTACCATAGAGTCGTTAGAATGTCGTTAAATTATAACAGCTGTCGCTAACAAACTTAACCCCCAAAACGTCGTAAAATTGCAACTAAATTTTTAACAGTGTATAGGACGCCGGCGCGCGACCCGTGAGGGCGCCTGTCGAGCCGAGGATAGGCAGCACGCTCCGCCCTGTTGCTCCTCCCCGAAAGAAAAGCTCCACGAGAATTCAACGTGGTTTCCACGTAGATTGGTGGATGCATACTAGACGTGGATTAATACGACTTTTCAATTATTCTAATTATTGTTTTGCCAGGTTTCGTGACTGCCCTTCCTTCTGACAGCCCGCACGGAAAAAAAAAGAATTAGCTAAATTAGCTAATGCATTAGCTAATATGGCCTTAGATGAGAATATTAGCTTTCCTAGCTAATTCCCAGCTAAGACAGCTAAAATATTGGCTTTCACAGCTAGTTGCTTTATTTTGTACACAACTGTTATGGCTAATTTATTAGCTCTCCTTGCGAAGAATCAGCTAGGAGAGCTAATATTCTCATCTAAGGCCATATTAGCGAATGCATTAACTAATTTAGCTAATTCTTTTTTTTCCGTGCGTGGCGCAGAGGGAATTCGGGGGATTCTGGTTAGGGGTCATACTGAATTTTTCTCGCTTAAGTCGCACTCTAACTGTAGCCACCGTCATCTCGTTCTGGTCTTTGCTGTGTGGCCTGGCCCAGCTTTGCCCGTCCTCCTTGGGACCAGGAGGGAGGGAGCTCATCACCGGCGGAGACTATTCGAGACTCTGGATCTTATTCGACCCACTATCCTCACCCCGGTTTCCTTTCTCTCCTTTTAATCGGGCCCCAAAGAGACTTACCAAGTTTACCTTGATGGTGAATGATGTCTACGTAGAGATGTTATGCACTCTAAAAGTAAGAAGACGATTTTGCTCCTAAAAGGGCAACGTGTTCGTGCCCATCCAGACCAAGTGCAATAATTGTGTTACTAAAACTGGAAAAATTGTGTAGTGCCCAACACTAATTGTCTAGTTCTAGGAACAAAAATGCAACCGTTCTGGGTGTGCAAGAGAAATTAGTTCTTACAGGACGAACAAAAATTTGCTCCTTTACTCTCAATTAAGACCTCAAAGTTCAGCAAAACTACTCATGTCAAGTCACAAAAAAAGGTTCATATAAACGTTTTGTAAATACACCTCTAAAAAAAACGAACTTTTCCTAATTGTTTTTATCAATTTGAACCTGATCTCGTGTTGTCACTAACATCGTACTGACCTAGTAACTGGAAAGAGGAAGTGCTCTCCGTAGTTGGACATGTGACATCTCTAATTTTACACTTGACCGACTCGAGGGGTCGAGGCGAGGAGGCAAGTAAGGGGCGAGGACGCGGTAATAGGTTGCTAACAGACACGGTATTAGTATTTGCTCTGGCCTGTCCACTCTGGTCCTCCCACGCTCACACTCCTCGTGTCTGCTGAACACCCCTTCGACGATATTGCCTCCGCAAAGACGAGGCGCCCAGTAATTGCGAATGTAATGGGTAGTAATGGCCAGGACAGTGGTAGAGAGGAAGAGGGGGGAGGGGGGCTCTCGCGGCAAGGGTGTGATTACCGGCACACTGCCGCCGCTGCCGTTGGGGCCGATTGGGGATGTGGTCAATGGTTCAAATACCGACCACTCCCTCATCTCTAATTAAAATCCCCACCCCACCCCACCTTTTGATATAAACTTTCTAAATTTTCTGGGATAGTAGAACACAAACTGTTTCACTCTCTCTCTCTCTCTCTCTCTCTCTCTCTCTCTCTCCCACACACACGGTGACGTTATATAGTTAAGGATATAAGCGATCCGCCGTCCCAGCGATAAGGAGGTGGACAGGCCAGCGGCCGCCAGCGGCTCTACCCTTCTGTCTTCCACAATAACCCCTTCCCTCTGTCGGTCACCCCTCAGCCTCCTCTCCTCTCCCTCGTCCACAAACAAAGGGGCGGGGGACGCTTCACTTCCTCCTGCCCTCCTACTCCCGCAGAGCGCAGGCATCATCAAGATCCAATCTCCCATGCGGAGACAAAATGACTCCTGAGCAGCGCCGGGCGGCGGTGGGGGGTGGGAGAGACGAAGAAGTATTGGCTTGGGATTAAAGAAAAGCGCGTCCTGATCGTCCTGATCCGAGCGGACCCCCAAAAGAAGAGGGCAGGGCACCGCACCGCGCCCGCCCTGCTGGCGCGAGAGGAGCTCTTGGCCCGCTTGGTTGGTTTCGTCTCCGTCTCCGTCCCTGTGGGATGAGGTTGGCGGAGGAGGAAGGGGGTCCCGCAAAGGTACGTACCGCGCAGCGACGGCGGGAGGCGCCCACCGCCGGGCCACCGGGGACCGGCAGCGGCTGACAGTGAGTGGCGAAGGGCTGACCCTTGGAGAAGGGCAATGTGACGACATTGCTCTCCGCTGCTGTCCTCTCAGGCTGGGGCCTCCCCGCCGCGCAAGGCCGCTCTGCTATACCCTCCTGGTTCCTGAAACCGCACGCTCAACTTGACGGGGCCGCGCGCGGCGAAGGGAGGCAACGGGTGGGGTAAGGCGGGGCAGGACAGGGTGGGGTGGGGCAGGATGCGACACAAGTATACAGAAATTACGCCCGCTCTTTTCCGTTACGGGACTTACCAGTTCAGGCAATGGAAGGTTTCATAGCTCGCCTAGTCGGTAGGAAACATCTTGCCCTTTAGTGCACGCGTGCTGGGTGACCTACCCGGATTTTTGCAGGCGACGAGCTCCCGTTATTTGCCGAACGAATCTGGGGAAAGCGGACGTACTTTCTGGGCAATCCCCAAGCGGTTGGGGCTAGGACAACCCCTCTGCCCCTCGGCCCTCGGCCCACCCTGTAGGCGCACGGGCCTGGCCTGGGACCCAAGGCTCTGGTCACGGTCGTGGTGTGACCCTCGGGGTAGGGCGGGGCCGGGCGCGACCCTTGTGGGACACACCGAGCTGCACACCAGCCAGATATATTGCCAACGGCTCGCTTAGCATAGCTAAGGCCCCCTAGCCCCCACTCCCCCTACTTTCATGCCCTTACCTTCCCATTTTACTTCTCGGTCCAACCAAACAACCCTTAATGCACACCGCAACAACGGGCCAAAAAAGACAACCTGTGTCGTCAACAAGCTGGCACAACCCCCGGGCCCGGGCATCCCCCTCCCCCCAGCCCGGTGTCCTAAAAGACGGCCAATTATGGGGGTGAAATGCCTCCTCTCCCCCCTTTTTCTCCCCTACTCCTTAGTAGTACCTCTGCATTCCGCTAAACGCGCGCCTTAATTACATCGTGTACAGTGTATTCTCGCTAATATTCACCTCGATAATTGCCGTTTTGTGCGAGGGAGATTGATATAGAAAAATAGCGCGTTTCATGTCGGCTGACTGGCGGCACTGACCTGGATGACTGCTTGCCTGCCGGGGGAGTAAGGTAGGTAGAGCGGAGCAAGGCAGCAGTGAACGCGCAGTAGTGCCCTCGCTGTTTGGCGCGGCTATAATTAGCGAGAGTCCACCGCCTCTAGGCCTACCAGTAGAACTAGATGCGGGAAGTCATTGCTGTAACTGTCCTTTCTCCCTTGCTTCTCCTGCACTTGGTGATATACTCCATGCCCGCTTTCCTCGTAGAGTTTCTGCGAAAACTAACGATACTCCTTGCACCGCAGAGACTTGCGGCGCTACCCCACGCTTTCCCACTTCGTGTAGGGAATCGTCCAGAGAGTACGTTTGTTGGTTTTTTTCTCAGATTCATTCGGTGAGTTACGGGAGGTTGCCGCCTGCGAGACTCAAGGTAGGCCAACCCGCGGTGCACGCATGCGCTCCAGGAAAGATGTTGCCTATCGATTAGGCGCTATGAGAGCTGCGCAGTTTCGTATCGGTGAATGTCAGACGTACTTTTTGGATGACCCGTCCTGTAGGTCAATAGTGTCTTTCTTCACCTTGTTTGTCTTTCGCCTCTCTTCACGGAACACGGTTCAGAACCGCATACCTTTAAAAAGCTTCAACTATGGCAAGACATTTAAAAGCAATCTAGAAAGACAGTAATATTCCTTTTCTCCTTTTGCGGTCTATTATATATGGGCTGTTATTGGCTGACTATCGTGATAGACATCTGAGATGCAGTGGTCGATGTCAGTAATATGATGTCTATGGTAGACAGACATCTAATAGACTTGAATGCGTCTAGTGTTGTACATCTATTATTCATCTCGGTGTAGATACGGCGTGATTTTTACGCTCCGTAATGTTCACCCACGCCAACCTGAAACCGACTTTCATGGAGCCGGGCGTGAAAATCACGCCTGGCGTGAGAATCGCGCTCACGTTGAGGAAAATCTGTATCCACTATAATAAATATATATTTTGCGTGAGGGTGCATTAAGAGGGGCGTGAGTGACCTCCATTAAATGCAACTACATGTGTCCCAGAAAATAACAAGTTCTACTTCTTGTTGTAGTTTTAATTTAAAACTTCATGTAGTTCCTCTGACAGTAAAATATTTATTGCATAGTATCAAGATTGCTATAAGTGACAATTGTAAGCTCAAAATTTCAGACCTGATGAAACATGCTGGTAGAATGAAAACTCCAGCATTACATGAAGCATAGTATTTCAGTGGAGTAAAGCACAGGCATCACAAGACACTAATTAATCAGCAATAAAACAGGAGTATATGATGGTGAATCAGGGATCATGACAACCATTACTAGTTACACTGAAGACATTTTCTCAGTTATAAAGATCAGGCAAAATCCGCTTTTAATGAACAAAACAGGCAACGTTAGTTATCGGACTTGACTCTTAAAATCACAGGTCTGCTATATAGTATTTAATTTAAATCCTACATAGAGCACAAACTTTGTCGGTGTTTGGTCTGCCAATTCTCATCATGCTCGGATCAATATTATTGCAGCATTTGAAGATTGCAGGCACAACATTACTGGATTTTTAAATTTTGACACTTGCCAACATTTTTCTATTTCTCTACACTATATAGTACCATGGGTGAAGCTAGCTTTTGGAACAATTCTCTTACTTCCCCAAATTTAATCTTGAAAACAGTGCAGGATATTCATATGGTCCCAACTAACAGATGTAAGATACACAGTATATAGTATTTTCTTTGCTAAAGGTAAGAAAGGAAATGATTAGCCTTTAACGGAAGTATTACAAGGAACAGTGGAATGCATGTCTTCTAAAGGCAGTTTTTCTGTGGTGGTAGGGGTGTTTGATCTAAGGAGTTCTTTTTTTTAGATGAGCACTGTACGATGTTCTTTATGAAGTGCAGATGAAAAATTTCCCTCAATTTGACACAAATCCAAACATTCTCATTTTGTTAAAGTAAGTTCTTTGAACTACAAAATACTGTGATATACAGTATTTATTTTAACATGTAACAAAAGATAAGAAACATTTTTGGGGGTTCTAATTAAACACCTTTCACATGGACCGCTGAAATTAGTTATTAAATTAAACGGTATTCTTCCTGTTTCTGTTTGTCGCTTGTGATGGCTTTATCGTTGAAGCGTTTTAGGTCATAAACCAGAAATGTTGCATAAAAGTTCTATTTTCTTCCACTTTAAATCCATTCTAAATTCAGTTGAAGACCGCATTAATTTATTGAATTGATTTTATCTTGAACCCTACATGATTCTTCCAATTAATGAATACAAAGTGAATTCAAATATCGATGAAGGTAAAACAACAAATATTAGTTATGTCTTGATACATGGTACAACCACTATCCCCACTCTAGTTTATCATCATACATTGAAATAAAATTAACTGAACCAGTTGTGCAAAAATTGTTCCAGCTTAGCTCCTCAGTATACAGTAAATGCAAATGCAGTATTTCATGCTCTACAAAATCTTTACAAGTAATCATTTGTACAAGGTCCTCCAACTGCACCCTTAGGTTTGGACTCCTTAGAACAACTTATACTAATTTCAAAGAATCATAAATTTTGACCTTACATTTAATATTGGTCCGATATTTTGAGGGAACAGTATTTATCACACCTCAATTAAAAGTAAGGTATGATGGTACATACAAGATATCAACAAGGTTTGTACTTATTCACTATAAAATGCACTGCATATTTGCATAATAATAAAGAGGACTATTTACAATTTGTTGGTTCTAAGATGAATCACCTTATATAATACTTTTCTTTAGCTAAAGTCAGCACTGTTTTAACGAAAATTATTTCTTTAGGAAATTCTCAAAACAACTGGTCTTCATTTATGATTTTGTCCTTCATGTTACATGTACTATGAACTTTGAGGCAATTTCATAAGGTATATTGGTAGTGAAAAAAAAATGTACCATCACTTCTGAAATTGTGAAAAGTCTAAGAAGGAATAGATAATCTTTTAGATGAAAACAAAAACACTTGATTTCAACTAGTACTTGTTCTGAGAGTTCACAAGAGAAACTATACAATTTTTGTGCATTCCTATTGGTAAATCTGCACATAGAATTATCACTGAAATCTACACCAACCAGTAACAAAACAAATGTACACAACAATGCAATTTCAAACAGATCATATCACAATTTTTTTTATTTAGTATCACCCAATCTCAATGTCAGGTAAGGTGAGATCAACATTCACTGTAAGCCAAGGCATCAGCATTAGAAATGTGGAGGAGCAGAGACTAAAAAGTCAAGTAGCTACAGTACCACTGGAGGGATTCCGCAATGCAGAGGACGAAGTAATCAATTAAAAAAACAAGACTTTTGCAGCACTTCTTAGCTCAAGCAAAGCCTGGCATAGTCTTGCTAAGGTATGACACACTGAGGGTAATGTACAATTTCACAGATATTAAAATTCTAGAATATTCCACCTAATTGGAGTTTCACAGGAAGTGTGTTCCATTTTTGTGGGCAAACACATACATGCCCAAATCCCCTAAAAATAACCATTGGCTGCCTTGGCCTTAGCTTAACATGAAACACATGTTAGAGAAACAGTATTAAAGAACATCTATACACACAGAATAAAACTTTTTTGATGTCAAATCAGTACAGTCCCTTAACATGCTGTTCAGCTTTGAATAATGTTCATAATATAAAATTATCCTTAAAGAAAGATGAGGGTCAGTGCAACAAGCTTTAATGGGAAAGTAGCATGTCAAAAAACAGTATTTTTTTGACATCAAAAGTTTCAGTTAAGACAGCAGAACAGCAATGTCTGAGAATCCACTTTTACTCGTTCTTTACCTCCCTCTTCCCTCCATATACTATGAAGAAGAATGGTTCATCAGCGAGAGCTTTGACGAAAAGAGATTAACCCTGATGTTTCCAAATAACCTTATTACTGTAAAGTCAACACATTGCATATAACATACGCCAATTACGGTAACAAGTAAAGAACGAGTAAATCCTTTGGACACCAAATTAATTTGGTGTTTCACTGGGCACTAGCCCTACATCTGTCTGCTGCTCACACCAGCATTTACTGGTTCTGTTGACATTTTAAAGAGTGTTCTTTCATCCACAACAGCCTGACTCTTGAGAAATTGAGAGCCTTAACCTGAAAAATAATAATTATTTTTCTATGCTCCTTGTATTTTTCAGGTACGAAGGCACAATAATAGAAATTTATGGCACCATACTCCTTAATTGTCCATATGACAGCATGGCAGATATGTAGCAATCTTGTCCAAAATCTTACTAAAATAAAACCAGACTTGATGGTCGAGCAGAATGTTCTAAGAGCACAGCTCCTACTTGCTTCGATAAACTGGGCCGACTTGGACAGTACGGGGATATGTTGTGCTGGACTATTCCTCTTCTTCCACAGCGGCAGATTTGTCTCCAGCAGCCATCTCCTCTGCTTGCTGCTGCAGCGCCCTTTGCTCTGCGTCTGCGGGGCGACAAATAGGACCCAATGACAGAAGGACATCTTGATGAAACATCATGATTAACATGTAAATTAATTACCTTTGGCTGCCTGTTCCTTCCACTGTTTCTTGTTCTCGGCTAGTGTTCCTACCCAAGGCTTTTTAATGGTGAATCTCTGCTCATTTTTGTACTTTTGATCACCTATCAGGCAAAAAACGTCACAGTTAACTCAAAAGTTTTAATTTTACTAACAAGAGATTCAATTCCGCAATAACACTGACCTGACGGCTCCTCCTCGATGGCCTCTTTGCTGGCACTAGCATCCTTGGCGCTGTTGCCCAGGATGGGGGCGAGCACAGCCTCGAGCATGTCGGCGCACACACCCATGGACGGCTCTACAATGAACTCAATAAAACCTGCGCAAAAGAGAAAGACAGCCATTTTCTCGATTTCACTTGAGAAGCACCAGCTTGTTTTCTTTGCCTAGGAGTGTTGGGTGCGCACCTATCTGGCTCTCAGCGACGAGCGTGTTGTTCCGGTCGCAGAGCGGCGAGAAGGGCAACCCCAGCTCCCTCTCCCGGTCGCCCTGCCGGAAGAACTCCTCGAGCAGCAGCTGGGTCCAGCGGTGGTGCAGATCCCATCGCTTGGCGGGGTGGGCGATGTCGCAGCAGTGCAGGACCATCGCCAGCGCCTTGGACTTGTCCACCCTGCGCAGAGGGAACGGCACGAGACACAATCATCAGAGCGCTCCCGCCCGCAAGGAGGGAAGGGGAGGAAGGACACCATTAGTAAGCAAAGTACGTACGTAGGCTCGGCGAGCGTCAACAAGTTGCGCATGTTCTTGAGCTGTTGAAAGTGGAAGCTCATGTCGGTGGCCAGCACCATGTCGATGACGAGCGTCCTAAACTCTCTGAACTCCTCGCGCGACAAGTTTTGTAAGATGTTGCACTCGTCCTCCCGCAGCGCTCTGTTGGAGAAAAAACGAAACGTGAGGTGTGGGTGCGCAGCAAACGCCTGCGGTGAGCAGGATAGGCAACCGCTCGACATGCGTGTCGAGCGTGGTGCCTACGCTGGAGTTGGCAGGCGCCCTCCGCGTCGCTACCCTTCCTCCTGGCTGGGGCTGGGCTGGGGGGCTGGACTGTCACTACCCCCCGCAAAAGACCCCAGAGCCCGGGGTGGGGGCCCTGCGTTTCGCAGGCGCTAATATGTTTAGTGTTAGCCCAATAGACGATTTGGGCTACCTCTGGATAAGAATAAATCTGGAAGAAATCTACAAGCATGGCGGCCAGCCTATCTCTCCCCATTGCGGCCATATTGGACGGCCACGATGCTTGTCGGCATTTTTACTTGATTTCTTCTTATCCAAAAGTAGCCCAAATCGTATATGCAAAATAAAA